TCGTGGTTGTCGTCGCCGTCGTTATCGTCGGCGCCATCGTCACCTTCGTCGTCGTCGTCGTCGTCGCCGTTGTCACCATCGTCGTCGTCACCGTCACCGTCGTCACCGTCGTCGTCGTCGCCGTCGTCGTCGTCGCTGCCATCGTCACCGTCGTCGTCGTCGTCGTCGTCGTCGTCGTCGTTGTCACTATCGTCGTCGTCACCGCCACCGTCGTCACCGTCGTCGTCGTCGCCGTCGTCGTCGTCGTCGGCGCCATCGCCACCGTCGTCGTCGTCGTCGCCGTCGCCGTCGTCGTCATCGTCGTCGTCACCGTCATCGTTGTCGTCACCATCGTCGTCGCCGTCGTCAACAACGTTGTCGTTTTCATCGTCGTCGTTCTGATCGTGGTCGTCACTATCGCCGTCGTCGTCGTCGTCGTCGTCGTCGTCGTCGTCACCGTCACCGTCGTCACCGTCGTCGTTGTCGTCATCGTCGGCGCCATCGTCACCTTCGTCGTTGTTGTCGTCGTCGTCGTCGTCGTTGTCGTCGTCGTCGCCGTCGTCAACGTCGGCGCCATCGTCACCGTCACCGCCGTCACCGTCGTCGTCGTCGTCGTCGTCGTCGTCGTCGCAATCGTCGTCGTCGTCACTATCGCCGTTGTCGTCGTCGTCGTCGCCGTCGTCGTCACCGTCACCGTCGTCACCGTCGTCGTTGTCGTCGCCGTCGTCATCGTCGGCGCCATCGGCACCTTCGTCGTCGTCGTCGTCGTCGTTGTCACCATCGTCGTCGTCACCGTCACCGTCGTCACCGTCGTCGTCGTCGTCGCCGTGGTCATCGTCGTCGTCGTCGTCGCCATCGTCGTCGTCGTCGTCACTATCCTCGTCGTCACCGCCACCGTCGTCACCGTCGTCGTCGCCGTCGTCGTCGTCGGCGCCATCGTCACCGTCGTCGTCGTCGTCGTCGTCGCCATCGCCGTCGTCGTCGTCGTCGTCGTCGTCGTCGTCGTTGTTGTCGTCACCGTCATCGTTGTCGTCACCGTCGTGTCGTCGTCGTCATCGTCGTGGCCGTCGTCGAATTTGTCGTCACCGTTGTCGTTGCCATCGTCGCAGTCCTCTTCGTCGATTATAATCACTATCGCGATCGTCGTCGTCGTCGTCACCGTCACCGTCGTCACCGTCTTCTTTGTCGTCACTGTCGTCATCGTTGGCGCCATCGCCACCTTCGGCGTCGTAGGCGCCATCGTCACCGACGTCACCGTCGTCGCCGTCTCCGTCATCGTCACCGTCGTCGTTGTCGTCACCGTCGTCGTGGTCGTCGTCATCGTCGTCACCGTCCTTGTCACCGTCATCGTCGCCGTCGTCGTCGTCCTCGTCGTCACCGTCGTCACTATCGCCGTCGTCGTCGCCGTCGTCGTCGTCGTCGTCGTCACCGTCACCGTGGTCACCGTCGTCGTTGTCGTCATCGTCGGCACCGTCGTGATCGTCGGCGCCATCGTCACCTTCGTCGTCGTCGTTGTCACTGTCGTCGTCACCGCCACCGTCGTCACCGTCGTCGTCGTCGCCGTCGTCACCTTCGTCGTCGTCGTTGTCGTCGTCGTCGTCGTCGTCGTCGTCGTCGTTGTCACCATCGTCGTCGTCACCGTCACCGTCGTCGTCATCGTCATCGTCGTCGCCGTCGTCATCGTCGGCGCCATCGTCACCTTCGTCGTCGTCGTCGTCGTCGTTGTCACTATCGTCGTCACCGCCATCGTCGTCTCCGTCGTCGTCGTCGTCGTCATCGTCGCCGTCGTCGTCGGCGCCATCGTCACCGTCGTCGTCGTCGTCGTCGCCGTCGTCGTCGTCGTCGTCGTCGTCATCAATGCCGTCAGCGTCGTCGTCGTCACCGTCGTCGCCGTCGTCGTCACCGTTGTCGTTGTCATCGTCGCCTTCCTCCTCGTCACCGTCGTCG